GTTTATAGAATGTGTCTGGCCGCGGTTCTTAGGTTCTACCGCGTTCAGATGCGTGTATAGGATGCGTCTGACCACGTTTGATAATTCTATCGCGTTCGGACGCGTTCATAGGATGCGTCTGGACGCGGCACTACACTATGTGAAACACCAAACGCGTCCAAACGCGTTTTTTTTGCGTTTCAGAGTTACATGGGTTACAGCTGTTGCAATAGCGTGTGCCATGGGTACATCGATTTCGTTATTCTTTTCGAATGCAACGATGATTGTTTGATAAGCCGCTCCAACTTCACCTGCTTCGATAACGGATGGAGTGAGTGATGAAAAATGAATTTTGAATACATATTGAACGTGCTCTCAAGTAGAATTTTTCGTTTTATTTGACTAACTACTTGAAAGAACTTTTTTTGCGTGTGTTTGATTTCTTTTCAATGAATTATCGAAAATTTGTTCTACAAATAAACGGAATTAAAACAAGAATTGTACATCTGTATTTCTCCAATAACACATTCCTTTGTTGTGCTCTACTTGAAATGCTTTCAACTAGAGTTGCTTTTAGGGGAAAGCCTCTTTATCGACGGCAGTGAAGGTGGTCGGAAAAAGGTTTCATAGTCGGACGAACGTAGCAGAAACAGAAGATGCACATGTGTTGAGAAGATTGAACAGGTTTAGAACGATCATATCTTTCGATTAAAAAATTACTAATTATATAATCGATGGTCATGGTACTCTTCTAAACCTTCTGTTATGTAAAATACTACCTTTGATAGAGTAAACGAGTGTTGACGAATGTATACATATCAGATAATGCTAAACGAATATTTGAATATTGAGATGACGTGTCAACGCTAGTTTACAGATGAATAGCTCGTAAGTCACGATTTTTCGCAATCATATAAAACATAATTCACAAGTACGGCACGCGATTTTGTATTCTCCTTCAATCTCAATATCCTAACAAGAGATTTTCACCTAGTCTAGGACGTCTTTTCACTGCAAAGTCAAAACCAGCATCTTCCCATAGAATTCTCATATCTCGCACTATCAACACTTGAAATATATTAGAAACCTTCGTAGCAATATACATCGATTATGACAGTTGACGAATTTCTATACTCCTGTGGTGTCATGTTATGAATTAGTTTGTCTGTGAAAGAAGACGATTTGTGCTACGAGCTTATATTCTTTATCGTTCGTCAATTTGATTTGTATGGTTGAATATAAGGCATGACTTGAGCTTGCCATCTGTGCCATGATTACTTCTTTTCTAATTATTTTTAAAATAGATCGCCAATGGAAATTCGTATTCTTCATCATTGACAATGCGCACACAGAAGTCTTAACTAGAATGTAGAGGAATTTTCGTTCTCAAGAAATTTTTGCAGAGAATGCTTCGAATTTAAAGGTGATCTGGAATATTTTCTCAGATAAAGTACTTCTTTAACATTTGTCCTTAGGATGTATTTCAATAGAAATACTGATGTAGCAGATGGTTAGTTGCATAAAAATAACGATGTATTTAATTCTAATTCTTCCATTTCTACCTATAAAACGTCGTCTTCTCCATTTCAACAATCATTTATTGTTCTTCTCAGTTTTCTAAAACAATGGAAGAATCTATTACTCATCGACATAATAGAGTCAAAAAATTGTATGATTATGTTATGAATATCAATCGATTCGACGAGAAAGAACGCTTCACTTTAGTCGATCAGCTATTCGCAACTAAAATCTATCTTCTTCTCCTACTTATCTCTCTTACTATTATTATCGCGTTCACCACTTTTAATGTTCAGACTCAATCCATCACCGTTAATTTACCTGCAGAATCCATCTTTAGGGAACTTTCTTTTCAATATCCAAGTACACTGTCATGTCCATGTTCACAAACATCCATTCGTCAAGATCATTTTATATCTTTCAATCCTCAATATCATTCTATCTGNCAGTGAGTTCGCAGCTGAGTACGTTCTTACCAATGAAGTTCTGACCTATGAAGCTTTTGACTATCAAATCGAACAACTTGTCAGCCAAATGAAATCAGCAGCCACCAGTAATATAAGACACATCAGTGATTTTCTTTCATTACATATTTTTCAAAACCATATTTTTACGGCGCTGCGTACCAATCTCCGCTATAGAGTCATGCCTGGAAGTTCATTTCTTATTAACAGTGTTATGCAATATTATACTTCAAGTACAATTTGTTCGTGCGATGATGATATTGATTGTACGTTACAAGCTAAATTTTACAACTTCTCGGGCTATAATGCCGCAAATGATGCGTCAACTTCGACAATGACTCCGCAATTATCGGTATTATTCACTATACCGGGTCTGATGATCGGTTGTTTACCTTACAATTCATTGCTACTATCAACACTCGAATGCTTCTACGATTCCTCCTGCATGGAGCAAATGCGAAACTACATTCCAAGCTTTTCATCAGTTCCACCATTATCATCGTCTCGGTTTAATTATAGTACGAAAGTGAACACGCTTTTAGATCAACTCTTCGTTGAAGTATGGAATGCAGAGCATAATTTCTCCGCTTATTATAAAGTCTGTTCACCATCGTCATGTACCTATTCATATGAACGACGATTGAATTTCTTGTATGGTATTGTGACAGTAATTAGTCTTCTTGGTGGTCTCAATATGATTATATACATCTCTGCACCAATCATCACTCGAATCATTCGACGAATACAACGATCGAAATGCTGTTCGACGACAGGCGATGTTAGATTATCTAAAAGAAAAATTACTCACACTAAACGTGAGTACTGATGCCTTGTTAGTTTTCATTATTCTATGTTAAAATACATTCTATAGGTTACAAAAAGCGCTTACTCTCTATTATTCATAAAATCAAAACGAAGATGGTAAGATTCAATATCTTTCGATCATTGGCTGATCCCATCGATGGACTATATTCTACACGTCTGTATTTTCTATTACTTCTCATTGGAATCGTTGTTTTACTCTTTTGCACATCATTCTTTCCTCAATTGTACACGGTCACTGTCAATCAACCATCAATAAATAAGTATAAACAGTTATCTAGACGAGACTTTACAACACTTATCTGCCCATGCACTCATCTATCTGTACCCTACTCATCGATTATAAATCTTAACGTTCGTTATCATCAAGTGTGCACCAGTGACTTCATTAAAAACGACGCTTGGATGCTTTACTTCGATAAACGCTCCGTACCTCTCTACACTCTCGATTTTCGTGTTCAAGGTGGATCTTTATTCGCCGTTCTTCAAATATTATGTCAAATGTCTAACGAGACAGTTACCAATGAACTAACTACCTTTAATAACATGCAATTTGTCGNAGATTTTCCAGTCTCTTCTCATGAGATCGATTCTTCCACTGAGAATCAATATTTCATTGTTATAACAATGGCATCCTTGAATCCACATTTCGCATTATTTCATGTATGATCATCAAACACTTCCACTAACACAAATGACCTCCTTTCGATCATTTGTCATCGAAAATATTGAGTCAAAATGTTTGGAAGGTCTTCTCAGTCAATTAACTTCGTTATTACATTTATCTTCATTGAGTGTTACAACTGCCGATAAAGTTAAAGTAAGAACCCGAACTTATCAACAAATCTTTCGTTTATCTTTGTTGCAAATTATCATTGGTACACATAGCGAATCCATGGAGAGAGCCGCCATTAACTCTTCTCAACGAACAAAGTCTCATCGAGTATCTCATTATTTATGATCATATAGAGTATCGCCAACTGAACAATTTTCTTTCATGTGTTCCTCGATTACGCTATCTCTCCTTAAAATTATTGAACTATCATAATAGATTGCCAATCAGTGGATCTTATCATCTGTTGAATAATTTGACATATATTTCTCTTCAATTAGATTACAATATATCACTGGAAGGAATGGAACATATTCTGATCATTCATTTTCGTTTTGTCGAAGTTTTGCGTATATCAGGATGCGCGAAACTTCTGAATGCAAAATGGTGGTAACAACTCATTTCGACTCATTCACTCAGATTACGCATTTTTGATATTAGACTCCACTTTCGGGCAAATTCTAATGCTGACAATCTCGAATATGAAAGACAAGTGAATCTATTTCAATCTCCATTCTGGATTGAGCATCAATGGTTTTTTCGCAGTGCACTTGGCCCAGACACATATCTACATGAAAGTTTTTTCTTTTCACCAGATCCATATCGGTAAACAATCAATGAGATTTGCAAGAAGATTATGTAATTGTTCTATTGATCTAGGAGAAAGAATTATGAAATCCACACAAAAGTTTCGAAAGAACTATTCAGAGACGAAACTGCAAGAGTGTTATTATCAGTTGACCATGTTGAAATTCGAAGAAAAGATGCGGTATATCAACAGTTATGTTCCTTTCCAAATGTTACTGAACTTAGTCTACATGATTCTTTTACTTGTGCTCATCGAACACTATCAGTCGGTCTCAACTAGGGGTGGACCATTTCCGTTAATTTGGAATTAACGTAAACGGCAATCCGCTAACCGTTAATATTAACAATTAACAGGTTCCGTTAATTAAGTAGAATTAAACTAAATGGTCCAACTCTAGTCTCAATCGTATTTTATCTTTGCAACGAATAAAAAAATATTCACTATTAGATGTCGTCGGCTCTGTTTTCAGAAAATGATCGATTTATTATGGTATGTTCTTTAATGTTTAGACAATAGAATGAAAGAGAATCCATTCGTCAATATCAACAATTTCAGTTATTACCACGGAAAAATCGCATTACGAGCGTCACTGTGGAACAAAAACGGGCATTAGACGTCATTCAATTGATAGAATGCCCAAAGATGTGAAATCAATATTCGAACTTCTATTGAATGAAAACGTTCCCAATCTACTTTTACTATATTTCAACTTCGCAAGTAAAACATGTTTTTCACAGTTGAATGGTTTAATTGCTTCTAAAGTCTCACCTTCTGATTATAAAGTGGTGCGTGTTGATGAAAAACTGTATTTATGATGACATTGTTTATTCTTATATACGGATATTATCTGGTGTTGAAGTTTCTTTTTGTTTTATGTAAAAATTTGATATGGGCACGGCCAAGCGGTACGGAATTTCATTATTTTGACTTGTGAGATACATATCTCTTGAATACTAAAAGATATATCTGTGAAAGTTTAGGTGTATACGAGTATCAAGTAAGTCTACCTTCAATGAAAATTTCACCGAGTTACTTCGAATCATAGCGAAGTTATTTGAAAAATATGACTCGTTACGGAATTTGAAAATATGGACAAAATTTTTAGACGTGGCTCATATCGAAGAATTTTTCTACGAAACGAAGCTGCTCATAAAGAAACGTTCTGTATGAAAGTTGTCCAGTTTTTCACAGGCTTTCAGAATATGATGTCGGTTTTTCTGTATGATAAACGCTTTAAGCAAGGCAACTTAAAATNAGTTGTCGTTTGTGGAAGTTGAAGGAAGAGAAGAACAAAAAATGCGTTTTACTCAAGCTATGGCATATTCGCGGAATGAATTTCTTTCATTTTCTTTCAAAAGACGTCATTCTTCGCATTCGACATCGTGAGAATAGAAATTCGGACGAAACTAAATTCGCTTTCAATCGACACAATGAATCGTTTTGCTGATGTTGATTTAACATGCAACAAGTTGCCACCTGTTTGTGGTCATCACAAGCAACGACTCGTTTCTCTTGACGAAGCATTGAAATCAATCGAACCACAAATCGACGATCTATCCCGTTATATTAAAATGGCGAAAAGATACTGCAAATATCCATCAGAACATGGGTTAACACGCGAAGAATCTGCGTCGCTTTACATTTATACGATGGAATGGGATGAAACGAGTTTATATCGAGTTTTAAATCGTGCACTACGTGATGCAAACAGAGAAATAGTTAAAGTTTGGTTTCCATATTTAAAATTATTGGATTCAGCTTTAGAAAAATTACCAACAACAAAAGAAGTCGTATGGCGTGGCGTCTCGCTCGATATTGGAAAGAATTTTGTCAAGAACCAAGTCTTAACATGGTGGACGGTCAACTCATGTTCGTCATCAGTCAATGTGATTAAAAAGTTTTTTGGAAACGAAACCAATTATACACTTTTCATGATCCAAGCTCTTAATGGAAAGAACGTGTCTGGTTATACAGCTTACGAAGATGAAAATGAAATTATTTTACCCATTGGTTCACATTTTCGCGTTAAAGGTGATTCATTAGAACAATCCAATCAATCGTATCTTGTTCATTTAATTGAGATCGACGATAATGATAATCAAGACGCATTGAATACGATGAACATCTATACAACAATGAATAAATTGAGTATAACAAACGTGCCGAAAGCTCATATAGATCCGCGGAGTAATATTATATGGGTAGATTCGAATCCTGACATTTCGAAATGCACTGGACCATTTGAACTTAGAAATTGGCGTGTCGCACGTTTCAATGAAACAGCGGACGCATTGAACGCACTCGAAGGAGGTCAACTGAAAGCGAACAACATCGACTGTGTGATTACGAGCATGATGGAGCGAGGTGGACGGCGCGAGCGGGGTCTTGTCAATGGCCTCGAAATGCTACAGAGAATGAAAACTACTTTTGATAAGGCCGGAATTACATCGAAGCCACTTTTCGCTGTGATTAGCTGCACAGCTGACATGGAGACATGTAAAAAATATGGTGTGGATATCGTCGTCATTGGCAATTATACAATTCTGCAAAAGCAAATTATCACTGAAATTACTAAGCGTATGAAAAAATAGGATTCTTAATTGATTTCTGAATATTTTGTCGGAGAAAAAGGACAAACCAATAATTGTTGTATGTGATTTCAACATGAATAAATCAAATGAGAGAACGTGATGATAATAGAAAAAAGGATTTGTTGAAAATAATCACGCAGCAGAATATGAAATGAGATAAAACATCGCAGTTTGATCATTTATATAGTTTCCTGTCGTATTCAGTCGACGTGAAAAGTCTATGGAAGTGCTACTAATTTGGATCATTCTAATATACAATTTATTGAAATCATCCGTAGGACAGAATGATTATTTCTGGATGTTATATACGGAAGATTCAACGCATAGTGAATGCTTCATGAGTGGAGATCGTCGTTATTGTCGTCCAATGGTAGTAAACGATATAAGAGAAGCATGCAGGAATGGTCATCTCCTGACCTTCGCCGAGCTTAAGAGATCAAACGTGACAAGTGAGAACCTGATCAAATGGCTGATTCCTCTCCAACGTATCCAATGGTATACTGCTTATTTGAATTATGATGAAAATATTCCTGCAGCTGAAGCGAGCGTTTGCAAGTGCTCTGAGAATCGAATCGGCACGAATTGCGAATACAGTCTTAATGTTGGAGCCAAAACTATTAACGATGTATTAGTCAGACAAATGGTTGGCTCCCACAAGAACAGTCACGAAACACTCACGACACTCGTGGATGGAATCACATGCATAGGTGCAAATATTTTTCTCGAGTGGCGACATATATGTGACGGATTTATTCAATGTCGGAATGGAGCTGATGAAATCGATTGTCATTTATTGGAATTTCACAAGTGTGAATCGGATGAATTTCAATGTCGCAATGGTATGTGCATTCCTATCGAATTTGCGTTTGATGCTGCGCCTGACTGTATGGATTCGAGCGATGAACAACAACTTGATAAACTATACAAACGATACTATGATTGCTTGAGAGTATCGACGTTTGAGTGTGATGATCGACTTTGCCGTAAAGATCAATTTTCATGTGGAAACGGTGAATGTGTTCCTTGGTCAACAGTTTTGGATGGAAAAAAGGCATGTCTAAACGCGCGTCATCTAGCCTATATTTGTGAAGCGTTCAGTCGAAGTGATAGTGCATATCTAGAACAAACTACCATCTGCAAAGAAACAATGAAACCTATCTTTTTAACGGAAACGTCGGACTGCCTAGAAAGTTTGAGATATCTACTAAGGTCTTATTCAGGTCACCTGCTGAGCGAACTTGCCATTAAAAATATCGTAACTCGTTGTGAAGACCACATCATTTATTCGAAGCAGAACGCCTTCTTTCCAGGTCTGACGATTGTATACAATCGTTCTCATGTTCAAGAATTTTATAGTATACCAAGCAATGCACAAAAATTGATACCACGGACGCCTGATCTGTATTACTTTAGTGGTGATATTATATGCGATGGAGTGCTATTTAAAATAACTGAAAAAATTTGGTTTAGTTTTCAGGACATGCAAAAGCTCATCTCTTACCCATTCTTTCCACTCTTCCATTTGATATGCGAAAGAGTGATGAATGAACTATCTCGTACTAGCCGAGACTATTTATTAGCATCATCGTTTTATCGCTGTAAAAATACATCGGACCGGATATCTCTGCGACGAATTAATGACGGATACATTGATTGTCTCTACGGTGATGATGAACGAAATTCTGCGTATTCCGTGACTGAACCCTTTCGTTATCGATGTCAAACCGTAACATTCCCGCCGCAATACGTCAGCTATGCACAATTAGGTAACGGTGTAGATAACTGTGTGGACGGTAGCGATGAAATATCCAAAGAACTGCGTTGGTCATCTTTCCAGTGTGATTTGACTGACAGCTATGCATGTTGGGTCTTTCAAGGTGATCGATTCGGAGAAAACCGGATGAAAGATGCTCGATTTAATTTTCACCGTCATTGTGATACGATTTGGGATGTCATGGACGGCCGAGATGAAATAGACTGTCTGTATTGGATATGTGATCCTGGTTTGTACAGATGCAATCGAACGGGACAGTGTATCGAGTCGAAATACTTCTGTGATGGTGAATTTGATTGTAGTGACGGAGAAGATGAGATGAATTGTTCTACACCATCTAAACCGTGGAAGTTAGAAATGGAATGCAACAAGAGTGTCGAGTTTTTTTGCATTACTGACAATTATGTTACAAATCAAAGTTTGTATCGTCCTTGTATTCCTTGGAGTTGGGTGGGTAATGGTCGTATTGATTGCATTGGTGCTCGGGATGAGCGTAACCGATTTTCATGTCCTGACCATCGGATGGTTGGTGATCGGTTTTTATGCGATCATGGAACAAAATGCATTCATTACACAGCTGTATGCAACGGATTTAAAGACTGTGTGGATGGAACAGATGAATCAATTTGTTACTGGGATATTGGTTGGTGTCGCGCCGGGCAATTTTCCTGTGCCGATAGAAGAGGGTGCAAGAATATGAGGTGCAACCCTGAAATGAGATGCAATGATAGATCCCATCTCTTTTGGTGTCCAAATGTAACCGATGAAAACTATATTTATCGCTCAACGAAAGAAAGAGTGATGCTCAGCAATAAACAGAGATGTTACAATCAGCCAGAATCTCAAATCGAACGTTCGCCAAGATCATTACTCACAAAACGTCCAGCTCCAGAATCACCTATGCTATACTTCTATTGTAATAGGGGTTTTTATCTGCGATTAGTCGATACTGCAGAGCCTCATTGCTTTTGCCCACCTACATTTTACGGCGATCGTTGTCAATTCAACAGTCGAAGAGTAGCCGTTCTTCTTCGCTTGGACAGAGCACATCGCTCTGATCTTCCAGTCGTTCTCAATATTCTCGTTATGCTGCTTCTAAATGGAAGTATAATAGGTAATCATCGATTTTTTCTTGACGAACGCAAGGACTATCCATCCAAGACTTCTACTTATTTAGTATATCCTCGTCCGAAACCTACAGGTATATATTCCGTACGAATTGAGGCCTATCATTCGACAGGACTGATCCATTTTTGGGAATACGCCGTCACCCCATTGGACTTCCTGCCTGTACTGCATATTTCTAAAGTACTTCGGTTTCCTGAGCGTTCACTTCCATGGCTATGTTCGAACAACCATTGCCTAAANTTTTCGTGTTCAAGGTGGATCTTTATTCGCCGTTCTTCAAATATTATGTCAAATGTCTAACGAGACAGTTACCAATGAACCAACTACCTTTAATAACATGCAATTTGTCGGTACCCATGTATTGTCCAATGATGTATTCAATGAACAGATCTATTCGCTCATTCAGCAATTTCAACAACAGGTAGGGAGAGAAAAATTTGGATGAGAATATTTGTAACTATTATTTGACTTTCTATAGACTATGGAATCATTTCTCGATCTCTTTAAACAAATCCAAACTTCTATTCAACTGAATCAGTTCATCATTCGAGGTCAAACTAACGCTGTGTTACGGTACACGGGCACTCCCTATAATAGAACTTGGTCTTTTGCATCAGTCAATACTTATGATAATAATTGTTCTTGTGGTCTAAGCGCTCTTTGTACACGACCTCAAGGATTCTACTGCACAATGGATGGTTGTAAATCAAATACCATTCGACCGAATCAGACTATTCCTGGCTTCGTTCTTAGTTGTCTACCGGTAGATTCACTTCTTTTTTCGTCCCTTCAATGTCTCTATAATGCATCATGTATCCAAATGCTCATTCAGTGGAAATCGTTCGGAACTGCAAACTCCACTATCGATCCACGTGTTATCAACACTATTCCACTTGATATTTCGGTAAACAGTCGTTTCGCACTTGATGTTACAGTGAATAATATTGCCTCACAGCTATTTATTGAGGAATGGATGAATGCGACAAATTACAGTTCTTATTATCAACAGTGTGCACCACAGAAATGTACGTACACTTATATGCAGCGATTCAATCGTGCCTATGTTATTGCACGTTTACTTGGTATCATAGGTGGTCTTAGTGTTGCTCTTAGAATTCTCACTCCTCTAGTTGTCAAAGTGATTCGACGAACACATCATTTCTGTCGCACGTGTAGGGATACCGAAGACGATGTCACTGCAGAGAGAAGTAAGAATTGAATGACTTTGTATTGATCGGTATATAACTGAAAATATGTGTGTTTTGAGGTATGCGCCGTAAGTTATCAGCTGTGGCTGCTCAACTTCGATATTCAGTCCAGAAAATGAACTTCTATCAGGAGCGACTCAAACATCATCCATCTCAAGAATTATCAGCCGTCGATCAAATGAGACTTAACCATCGCCTACAAACAGCTTCTCGTGTCTATGTCATTTCCTTTGTCATAACATTTATGAATTTAACAGCTTTCACTGCCTTCACTCCCCAAACACATGTAACTGAAGTATCATCTCCAACACAATCAACATTCGATTCTCTTCGAGAACAATATTCATTGTCGCTCACATGTCCATGTTCACAAGTATCCATTTCGAATTCTGAGTTTCTTTTCATACAACCAACCGCATACCATCAAGTATGCTCTAGTTATTTTGTTTCTTCGGATTTTATCAATTCCATCTGGGTTTCGGATGCGTCATCCACATTTATTTTGTTCAATGACGGAAAAATCATCAGTTCACAATTTCGTCTTCTTTCATTGTTATGTTCGTTGGCAAAGAATATTACTGAACAACAAATGAACGTATTCCTCGCCCAAAAATTGGTAACGCTCGAGACGCTTACATGGCAATCGTTTCAGACTCGAATCGATTCGCTTGTGAATAATTTCATCAACGAAACGCCAGCTCGCTTTCAACAACTTCATGTATACATCAACGATATTCTGCATGCTAATCAATTACACAATCTATTCTTTACCAATTGGAATTTGAAAGAGTCATCCGCGAAAGATGGATATTATATGTTGACAAATGCAATATTATACAATGAAACTGGTCAGCCGTGCTCATGTGATGTTTCACCCACATGTTCGCGATCTGTACTCGTCAATGGGAAGAAAAAAGAGAATTTCACAGGTTTAGTATGCGGCTGCCTACCTATATATGGCCTTCGACAATCAACTCTCGAATGTTTCTATGATATGACATGTTTGAATAGATTATTTTCGTTCATTAGCACTGCGGCTATTGCAGTACCTTTGAATCTGTCGATTAGCACTCGCTTTACACCGATCGCATCGGTTCCGATTGGTACATTAATTGACGAATTGTTCATCGAGTCGTGGTCCAATACGAGTAACTATTCAAGTTATTTCTCACGATGTGCACCGCTAACATGCCGATATACGCACGTGGATCAAATCAATCTTGTGTATATGATAACAACATTTTTGGGTTTTTATGGTGGATTGACAATCGGTCTGAAGTCTATTGTTTGGTGTAGTTTATCTTTGTATTGGAAAGCACAACATTGGTTTGTCGTTCGTCGAAGTGCTGTCGAGCCAGCGCACGGTTCTATATGGAGAATATCCTGAAGAAAAAACAAATGAAAACACGTTCATGTAGTAAAATTGTTTTCAATAAATATGCGTATGTAAAGAAGTTTTTCCGTTATAAACTTCACAATCAGGGTACACAGTGTACTGGCATCCGCGCAGCCTTTTCTCGATTAATTAAAAAGCTTTCCCAACTTCTCCAGTTTCATTTTCAATAAATTTCCACCGATAATCTCGTTGAGACTGCATGATTGTGTTCTACTTATGTAGGAGAAAGTGTCATGAAATGTACTAATTGACGCACTAATTGATCATGTTCGAATTGTAGAAAACGAAGCAATGTATCGATGTGTGAATTATTTTCCAAATGTTATCAAACTTACTTTAAACAACGACATCGCAACTATCAGTTGTAGAGCAATTTCGATCGATGTCAGTCGTATTTTATCGCTCGACAAATTACAAATTTTAGTAATTGGACGTAATCGTTTTCCTCTGATACAAATGCTAGTATATAATCCAGCACAGTTGTAGCTTTATTTTTCGTATAGACGATCTGATCATGGCTCTGTAAAGCAAGTTTATTCATGACTTTTTGATTAGCCATTTGTGTGTTTCTTTTGTTGAAAGCCTCCAATATTTGTCTTTCCATTCGAATGGCTTGTTGTTGACATCGAAATGCACACTCAATTCTTTTTTCCCCTTTCGTATATCTCAGTCGTAATTGCACCAACTGGAAGTAAGTCACATGAAGAAACATTGCCAAATGAGTTTTTCGTTAAGCATTGAATAGTTTGGAATGGAACAGATTAAACGTCAACTATACAATTACTTTCAAGCAATTAAAAGACAGAAACGACAAGATCAGTGAGTTGGAACGAAGTGATCGTCTATGAACATTTCTTTGATTTCTATGATTTAGCCCTGTTACACGATTTGAAGATTTCGCTAGTGAAATTCTTTATAAAATCTTTGATTATCTTGACTCTTACCATGCTTACAAAAGATTTTCCAGCCCCTTCTCATGAGATCGATTCTTCCACTGAGAATCAATATTTCATTGTTATAACAATGGCATCCTTTAATCCACATTTCGCATTATTTCATGTATGATCATCAAACACTTCCACTAACACAAATGACCTCCTTTCGATCATTTGTCATCGAAAATATTGAGTCAAAATGTTTGGAAGGTCTTCTCAGTCAATTAACTTCGTTATTACATGTAATTATCTTCATTGAGTGTTACAACTGTCGATAAAGTTAAAGTAAGAACCCGAACTTATCAACAAATCTTTCGTTTATCTTTGTTGCAAATTATCATTGGTACACGTAGCGAATCCATGGAGAGAGCCGCCATTAACCCTTCTCAACGAACAAAGTCTCATCGAGTATCGCATTATTTATGATCATATAGAGTATCGCCAACTGAACAATTTTCTTTTATGTGTTCCTCGATTACGCCATCTCTCCTTAAAATTATTGAACTATCATAATAGGTTGCCAATCAGTGGATCTTATCATCTGTTGAATAATTTGGCATATATTTCTCTTCAATTAGATTACAATAGATCACTGGAAGGAATGGAACATATTCTGATCAATCATTTTCGTTTTGTCGAAGTTTTGCGTATATCAGGATACGCGAAACTTCTGAATGCAAACTGGTGGCAACAACTCATTTCGACTCATTCACTTAGATTACGCATTTTTGATATTAGACTCCACTTTCGGGCAAATTCTAATGCTGACAATCTCGAATATGAAAGACAACTGAATTTATTTCAATCTCCATTCCGGATTGAACATCAATGGTTTTTTCGCAGTGCACTTGGCCCAGACACATCTACATGAAAGTTTTTTCTTTTCACCAAATCCATAGCGGTAAACAATCAATTAGATTTGCAAGAAGATTATGTAATTGTGTTCTATTGATCTAGGAGAAAGAATTATGACATCCACACAAAAGTATCGAAAGAACTATTCAGAGACGAAACTGCAAGAGTGTTATTATCAGTTGACCATGTTGAAATTCGAAGAAAAGATGGGGCGTATCAACAGTTATGTTCCTTTCCAAATGTTACTGAACTTACTCTACATGATTCTTTTACTTGTGCTCATCGAACACTATCAGTCGCTCTCAACTAGGGGTGGATTATTTCCTTTAATTTGAAATTAACGTAAACGGCAACCGGTTAACCGTTAATATTTACGTTAACGTTAATACTAACAATTAACAGGTTCCGTTAATTAAGTAGAATTAAATTAAATGGTCCACCCCTAGTCTCAATCGTATTTTATCTTTGCAACGAATAAAAAATATTCACTATTAGATGTCGTCGGCTCTGTTTTCAGAAAATGATCGATTTATTATGGTATGTTCTTTAATGTTTAGACAAATAGAATGAAAGAGAATCCATTCGTCAATATCAACAATTTCAGTTATTACCACGGAAAAATCGCATTACGAGCGTCACTGCGGAACAAAAACGTGCATTAGACGTCATTCAATTGTTCGTTAAATTATTTCCTCGAATACAAAGTCTTTCAATTGATATAATGCTCAAAGATGTGAAATCAATATTCGAACTTCTATCGAATGAAAACGTTCCGAATCTACTTTTACTATATTTCAACTTCGCAAGTAAAGCATGTTTTCCACAGTTGAATGGTTTAATTGCTTCTAAAGTCTTACCTTCTGATTATAAAGTGGTGCGTGTTGATGAAAAACTGTATTTATGGTGACATTGTTTATTCCTATATACGGATCTTGTCTGGTGTTGAAGTTTCTTTTTGTTTTATGTAAAAATTTGACCTCCATCCAAATTGGATATCGTAATGAACACCGATGGTCGTTGTTCTTTCATAATCTCGTGTGAATAAATAGACCATCTATTCAAATTAACTTAGTCAGGTGTAAAAACATGTCTTTCATGATTTTCAGTTTTTGAATTGACGTAGTTAAAAACTAATTTACAAGAACTCTAATTTCTTTTCAAGATCTCATTTCCGTTAAATATCATATGCATATAAAATCTCACAGAAACTATTGTTTGTCAAGGGTAGGCAGAACAAAATTCGAGTATGACGTTCCTTATCTGGCTCAAGTCAGTAACAAAACGTGGATATGCTCATCTTCTTATATGGAATGCTTTTGATTCGCGATCATCTGATCCGACAATTATTCGTCGTGAATTGTTCACAACTCGTTTGTATCTCATTCTTCTTCTTCTTCTTTCTGTTGGTGTTTTAGCAGCATATACATCATTCAGTGTGCGATTCAAAAGCGAAACTGTTGACAGTCCAACTTATTCTCAATATGAAAAACTTCAAGAGAAATATTCGGATAGTTTACAATGTTCATGTACGAAAATTTCGATGTCTTATGGTGGATTTGTAAGAACAAGTCCGCGATTTCATCAGGTGTGTTCAAGTGATTTCATCACACAGAAATGGATTGATTTCACTTTTCCCGACAATCTCATCTTGCTTTCGCCAATTGATATCCGAATGAGTCTAAGTGCCGTGTGGAAATTCATTCAATCATTTTGCCGAAACGCTGATCAAATAACAAGTGATATTCGCAATCAGTTTGCTAATACTTCATTGATCAATCCAACTTTATTGAATAAAGATTTGTTAATTGCAAAAACTCAAAGTACTTTGTCATCAATTCGTCAAATCGAAACAGTTCGTTTAATTCAATCCGTCAAAATCGTTGATCGAGTCATTCGAGCAAATAGCCTATTAACTGCACTAGGAAACAACTATGTTCTTCGTGCGGTCTATGAAAATCAATCAAGTGACATAAGATCGGATTTTTATATTGAAATTTATCGAAATCAATATATACAAAACAATTCGAAGAAAGTCTGTATTTGTGAAAATGATCGTTCATGTCCACTTCCTGCCAATATTTATTTGTATAATATTACAGACCGATCTGCAGTTTACGATATGAATACCATACCGTCTAATGGAACTTTGCTCGGCCTAGTTGTCGATTGTTTACCACTTCAAATGACATTTGCATCAACATTCGAATGTTTTTATCAACAATCATGTCTCAACTTTCTTCTTTCAACGTACCAACAAAAGATCAATATTTCCATTCTGAATTCATCTCAGCCAAGTCGTTTTCATCTAACAGCAACGATTGATTCAATTTTCAATGAACTTTTCCTCGAAGAAATATACAATGAAACAAATTATGAAGATTATTATTTGGTATGTTCTCCAAAAACATGTTCGTATTCATTCAATCAGCGATTTGATTGGATTTACACTTTGTCAACCTTTTTCGGACTTTTTGGTGGCATCTCGGCCGTTTTATGTGTTATTACTCCTTATCTCATTCGTTTGTTTCTCTTTTTATACAAATTGTTGTTTGCAAAGAATTAGCCAATGAGACAACCATCAAGTAAGAGAATTTCAATATAAAAAAAAAGAGCAATTAACAGTTTATCGTTTTAGATGAAACTTTTCTGAATCGATTAAAGCGAATTTTACAAAAGATAAAACAGAAAATTGTGAGTTTGAATATCTACACAAAATATTCTCATGATGAAACAAGTGTTCGTCATGGTCGTTTGTCGACCCGATTATATTTTCTCTTGTTATTCCTATCAATCATTATCATGGTCATTTATTCATCGGTATTAGCTGAAACCATCACTGAACAAGTTATTAATCCAACACTAAACGAATATATACGATTACAAGTCGAACATTCATCAACATTGAGATGTCCTTGTAGTCAAATGTCTGTTATGTATAGAGATTTTGTTGAAATCAAAGTGAAATATCATCAAATATGTTTAAGTGATTTTGTTCAACCGTGGTGGTATCAAAGTTTTTCGTTTCCAAAGACTTCGTCACAATATATTCTTTTTATTTGGTTGGGATTAGCATATTTTGAAACACTAGCAACATTTTGTGAATTAGTTGATGAAACAGTCAAGAATGGAGTTGAACAATATCTCTCCACTACATTTGTTAATGGTTATGTTTTATCCAATGATTCATTTCATATACAAATGACTTCATTGATCAATTCGTTTATCGGACAACTCGAAAATGAATTTATTTATCGATTATCGTTGACAAAACTATTTCTTCAGAGTAATCAATATATGAGTTATCTACCATTAAGCACATATCCTGTAATAGACAGAGGTTATGCCGGTTCTCGATTACTATATTTAAATATATACGCATCTGCTTCATACACTTACAAAGATTCCAGTGCTCCAAGATGCTTTTGTGTGCTTGATTCGAGCTGTAGCTTCGACGACTAGGTGGTATTATCAGGTCCCCCCACCTCCTTATCTTGGGGAATTTCTGGAATGATTGGCGGCTGCACTATGGTGGATACTGTACTCAGGTCATCGTTTATACCTTGGCTCGATGATCACTTGAACCTCTTATGGATACAAACCTTGCGCAGTGCGTATCCAACTATATCTCGCTTTCCAAGGATACTTAACTCAACAATTCCGAGTCGATATTCCAGAACAGCAGCAGCTGAGTCGATTTTGAATCACCTAATGATTGAAGATTGGAATGTGACTTATTTGTACAAGAATTATTATTCTCAGTGTCAACCATCATTCTGTTCATTTACTTATTCGAAGGAAACTGATGGTACGCATGTGATCACTGTCATTGCCAGTTTAATTGGAGGACTTAACGTTATTCTGCGATTGATCGCTCCGTTCATCATTAAAATGAACTTGAAACTGATCGAAATATTCAAACATCGAGAATCTCGCACAAAAGTACAACAACCAAATCATCGTGAGTTGTTTTTGATTGACAAGAACGTATATTTGTGTGAACATTTAGAAAGATGCGGAATATTTGTGAAAATAATCGATAGAATTCTGGTGTTAAACGTCTTTGACAGTGAATCAACTGATACGAGAACAATTCATCGTGAACGATTAACTACACGATTATATTTGACGATTTTATTTCTATCCTTATATTCTATAACAATTTATTCAATGTTTTCCACTGGAACCATGAATATCGTCGTGTCAAATCCCATTGAAAGTGATTATAACAAGTTAAACAAATTGTATTCAACTTCACTTCGATGTCCTTGCAACAATATTTCAGTTGAATATAAGAATTTTCTCAGTGTTGATGCCATCTTTCATGAAATTTGCTCGAGTGATTTTGTCCAGACAGAATGGCGTGATTATTTATTTGTTCAAGATTATTGGAGTAGTTATTATCGAGCAGATTTACGTTCATGTGGAGCTATCTACTTCGAATTTCTTTCCACTTTATGCCAATTATCGAAGAACACAGTTCAACGTGCGATTAATCAATTTCTTAATGAAACATTTATCAATACTCAAATGATTCCCCGATCAGAGTTTCAACTTCGAATCAGCCGTTTTCTTTCGCAATCTCAGCAAAAAACAACAACACAATTTTCGCGCAGTGTGAATTTACTACAGGATGTGATGCATGGTAATGCTTTAATCTCCTCCTATCTACTGAACTATAAGTGGTCGGTGGGTTTGAACAGAACTTACACGACAATTCCAGTTAATCCAATAAGAATGAAAAATGGATGTTCATGTGGAACTCGAACTGATTGCATTGAATCAGGAGGAATATATTATGACGGGACGGATACACAAATATTTGCAATACCTGGATGGAATGTTGGCTGTTCAGTAGTTGAAACTGTACTAAGATCGACAATGGAATGCTTTTATGACTCAGCATGTATCAACGCACTGCTATACTATGCAACAACCATTCAAAATCGACTTCCTTATCGAATGAATATATCAGCGATCAACTCTTCAAAAGAAAGTCGTTTTAGAAGAGATGCGGTTATTCAAGATTTAGCAGATGAATTATTTGTTGAAACGTGGCAGATTTACAAATCTTATTCATTGTTTTACAAAGCCTGTGCTCCGATCTCTTGTTCATATACAATTCGTAAAGATGATTATTATATGTATAGTGCATCGAAAGTACTTGGTTTGTATGGTGGATTGACCATCTTCTTGCGATTAATTGTTTCCTTGGTGATGAAAATTTTCTTCAAAATTCGACCTTGTTGCCAATCAAATGAAGTTGCTCTGTTTAATCAATGCACATTTAAAAGATTCGTTTTATGATCTACCTCCAAAACGAGACTAACAGATTTTCCCTGTGCCGACGAAGTTGTGCGTTGTTGTGTTCTTTTGTGAATAAATAAGGATATCTTTTAAACTTATAATGACATTCAAGATGTGGATACTTTCTAATGTCTTATATAAATGGTAAAATCCAATCATATTGATCACTTAAAGGACTTTCGAAAGCAAACGAAGCTGACATAAAACATTCTAGTCACAAATACTCAACGCTCTTGATATGAATCAAAATTTTGTCTTCTATAATCGAATTTGCTACGCCAGAACAATAACTCCATTCGTTTGAACGTGATATCCTCAGGAATCTGTGCTTCACTGTAACGCATCCATTTTGTGCATTTAGTTTGAGCTTGAATTTGGACTTAACAGATTTCTAGCGCTATCTATTGTATTGACAAACGTACAAGTACGATTTGTCCATAAAGAATCCGATTACTCATTTCTATGTTGGAAATTTCCGATACTTTTTTCCTTTCTTACATTTTCGTTACGATTTCATCATACTCAATAGTAAGTCATGTGAAAGAATAGAAATAAATAACTTTTTCGCTAAAAATTGAATAGTTTGAAATGGAACAGATTAAACGTCAACGATGTGATAGTTTCGATGACAATAAAAGACGGAAAACAGAAGATTGGTAAGTTGAAACGAAGTGATCTTCTATGAAAATTTCTATGATTTAGCCCTATTACACGATTTGAAGATTTCGCTAATGAAATTCTTTATGAAATCTTTGATTATCTTGACTCTTACCATGCTTACAAAGGATTTTCCAATCTTAATTATCGATTTCAATCTTTTCTCATAAAATCGACTCTTCCACTGAGAATCAACATTCCTCTCATGTCTTCATCAACATTTCATCGTTACAACAATCATATTATTCAACGAAATCTTCAACGAACGCATTCAATTCACATTTCAAACCATTTCATGTATGATATTCAAACACTTCCATTAGTACAAATGACATTTCTTCAAAGACTCGTCGTCGAAAATATCGAGTCGAAATGTTTAGAAAATCTTCTCAATCAATTAACTTTGTTATCACATTTATCTTCATTGAGTATCACAACTATTGATACAGTTACACATCAAACTCCTATTTATCAACAAATTTTTCGTTTATCTTCATTGCGTTATTGCAAATTATTATTGAGAAATCAAAACTATCATTGGTATAGTGTATCATCGCTTCACCTAAACGAGCAAAGTTCGATCGAATATTTAATTATCGATTATGAAATTAAATATAGGCAGCTGAAGGATTTGCTTTCCTGTGTTCCTCGACTACGTCATTTCTCGTTTCAAATAAGACCAGATTTTGAATCTTTATCAAGCAATGTACCATGTCATGTCCCAGATAGTTTAACATATCTCTCTCTGAAATCAAATTGCAGACTTGCATTCGAGGAATTGGAACGTACCCTAGTCAATCATTTTCCTCTTGTTGAGGTTTTACGTATCTCCGTATCAATAAAGACTTTAGATGCGAACAAATGGAAACAATTGATATCAACACATCTATTAAAACTACGTATTTTTGATGTCAGGTTGGAAGTTTATTCATCTAGCGAAGTAGAAAATGCAGCTTATGAAGAGCAAGTTATTGAATTTCAATCCTCGTTTTGGATTGAACGTCAATGGTTTTTTCGCTCTGAACTAATTCGAAAACGACATTTAAAATCATATATTTTGTATTCAACGAATCTCTATCGGTAAATAATGATAAAAATTTTTCATAAACTCCATACGCCATGTTTTCATAACGTATTTTAGGAAAAAAGATTATTTATTATATAAACAATCCTATGAAGAAAATTTCACAGATGAAAATCGAACAATGTTCTCCTCAGTTGATCATGTGCAAATTGAAGATGAAAAAGCAGTACATCAATGTATGTGCTATTTTCCAAATGCTACCAAAGTTACTCTAGAAGATCGATTTTCAACTGCTGGTTATGCGAAATTTTCCATTGTTTTCAACCGTATTTTATCTTTACAACGAATAAAAACTTTAGTGATCAAATATGATCGTTTTTCCGTTATGAAAATGATTAATTTACTTACGTGTATTCCTAATCTTCAAACATTAGCATTTCAAAGCATGTCTCTTTACAAAAAGGAAAGCAAATCCATTGAACAAAGCAAAAAATTCCAGTCATTGTCGAAGATAAATCGCATCACGAACGTCAGTTTTGAAGAAAGATCTACACTAGACAAGATCGAGTTACTTGTGAAGTTATTTCCTCGTATTCAATATTTTGAAATGAATGTATTTATGAGACATATGGAAGCAATATTACAGCTGCTTTTATTAAAACAAAATATGCCTAATCTGCCGTTGATATGTTTTACATCTGCAGATGAAGCACATTTTCGGCATCTGACTGATTTAATTAGATCTAATATGTTATCTTCTGATTACAAAGTAGCATATGCCGAAAGAAGATTATACCTATGGTAATAAAGTGTTGATCTCTTATAGTCAAGAGTGTTCTCTTTTGTTTTCATGTACAAACTAATTTATTTACATTCAAATAATCCTTGTCAACTATGAAAAGGATCGATTTTCCGTTGTCTTATATTATCAGAACTTTTCAAAGATTCAAATTCCGTTCGATCTTGGGGGTGAATTAAAATATGACGAGATTTATCGTTAACACAAAGGGATGTACAGCCAAGCGTGTGTCATTCTTATAAGGGTAGGTGTGCGAGGGAAAGAAAGTGTCATTGAACGTATTAGGCTAGTTGCCAGGACATCGTCGCTCCTCATTAGATCGCTTAAATTAACTTTCGTATGTTTATAATCTTCAAAAATGCGTAACATTGTTTCACATCTGATGTAGAAATTCTTTTGATGCTGCCTATACTTTCGTGGGACGATACCAAGCGTAGACTGACGGACTCCTTCCTCCTGAATTGTTAAAACCATTTAAAAATTTCTGATTTTCGCACAAATATACTGGACTTCATGAAGCTGAGGTCTCAGCATAGAACTTACACTCACTTATCCTTCGTCGAAAAATACATGTGAGTTCTACAAATCGTTGGATGCAACTTTAGAAAATCATCAACAACAAAAGAAGTCATGTGGTGTGGCGTGCCACTGATATTGGAAAGAGTTTTGTCAAGAACCAACTTTCAATATACTGAGCTGTCGACTCATGTTCGTCATTAGTAAATGTGATTAAAGAATCTTCATACATGTTTGTACAGATAAGCCGTAAAACATGTTTTTGCTTATACGGCTACAGTTTATGAGAACGAAATTGCACTGTTCTCGTCAACAATTTTATCTGATAAACATTTTCGTTTTTTAAAGTTGGAAGAAGAGAAGAACAAAAAATGCGCTTTACTCAAACTATGTCATATTCGCGGAATAAATTTCTTCCATTTCCTTTCAAAAGACGTCAGTCTTCGCATTTAACATCGTGAGAACAGAAATTCGGATGAAATTGAATTCGTTTTCAATCGACACAATGAATCGTTTTGCTGATATTGATTTAACATTCAACAAGTTGTCACCTGTTTGTGGTTATCATAAGCAAAAACTCGTTTCTCTTGACGAAGCATTGAAATCAATCGAATCACAAATCGACGATCTATCCCGTTATGTTAAAATGGCGAAAAGATACTGCAAATACCCATCAGAACATGGATTAACACGCGATGAATCCGCATCGATTTACATTTATACGATGGAATGGGATGAAACAAGTTTATATCGAGTTTTAAATCGTGCACTACGTGATGCAAACAGAGAAATAGTTAAAGTTTGGTTTCCATATTTAAAATTATTGGATTCAGCTTTAGAAAAATTACCAACAGTAAAAGAAGTCGTATGGCGTGGCGTGTCGCTCGATATTGGAAAGAGTTTTGTCAAGAACCAAGTTTTAACATGGTGGACGGTCAACTCATGTTCGTCATCAGTGAATGTGATTAAAAAGTTTTTTGGAAACGAAACCAATTATACGCTTTTCATGATCCAAGCTCTTAATGGAAAGAACGTGTCTGGTTATACAGCTTACGAAGATGAAAATGAAATTATTTTACCCATTGGTTCACAATTTCGTGTTAAAAGTGATTCATTAGAACAATCCAATCAATCGTATCTTGTTCATTTAATTGAGATCGATGATAATGATGATCAAGACACATTGACAATGACGAACATCTATACAACAATGAATAAACTGAGTATAACAAACGTGCCGAAAGCTCATATAGATCCGCAGAGTAATATTATATGGGTAGATTCGAATCCTGACATTTCGAAATGGACTGGACCATTTGAAGTTAGAAATTGGCGTGTCGCGTGTTTCAATGAAACAGCGGACGCATTAAACGCACTCGAAGGAGGTCAACTGAAAGCGAACAACATTGACTGTGTGATTACGAGCATGATGGAACGAGATGGACGGCGTGAACGGGGTCTTGTCAATGGTCTCGAAATGCTACAGAGAATGAAAACTACTTTGGAAAAGGTTGGAATTACATCGAAACCACTTTTAGCTGTGGTTAGCTGCACAGCTGACATGGAAACATGTAAAAAATATGGTGTGGATATCGTCGTCATTGGCAATTATACAATTCTGCAAAAGCAAATTATCACTGAACTTACTAAGCGTATGAAAAAATAGGATTCTTAATTGATTTCTGAATATTTTGTCGGAGAAAAAGGACAAACCAATAATTGTTGTATGTGATTTTAACATGAATAAATAAAATGAGAGAACGTGATGATAATAGAAAAAAAGGATTTGTTGAAAATAATCACATAGCAGAGTATGAAATGAGATAAAACATCGCAGTTTGATCATTTATATAGTTTCCTGTTGTATTCAGTCGACGTGACAAGTCTATGGAAGTGCTACTAATTTGGATCATTCTAATATACAATTTATTGAAATTATCCGTAGGACAGAATGATTATTTCTGGATGTTATATACGGAAGATTCAACGCATAGTGAATGCTTCATGAGTGGAGATCGGCGTTATTGTCGTCCAATGGTAGTAAACGATATAAGAGAAGCATGTAGGAATGGTCATCTCCTGACCTTCGCCGAGCTTAAGAGATCAAACGTGACAAGTGAGAACTTGATCAAATGGCTGATTCCTCTCCAACGTATCCAATGGTATACCGCTTATTTGAATTACGATGAAACTATTCCTGCAGCTGAAGCGAGCATTTGCAAGTGTTCTGAGAATCGAATCGGCACGAATTGTGAATATAGTCTTAATGTTGGAGCCAAAACTCTTAATGATGTATTAGCCAGGCAAATGGTTGGCTCCTACAAGAACAGTCACGAAACACTCACGACACTCGTAGATGGAATCACATGCATAGGTGCAAATATTTTTCTCGAGTGGCGACATATATGTGACGGATTTATTCAATGTCAGAATGGAGCTGATGAAATCGATTGTCATTTATTGGAATTTCACAAGTGTGAATCGGATGAATTTCAATGTCGCAATGGGATGTGCATTCCTATCGAATTTGCGTTTGATGCTGCGCCTGACTGTATGGATTCGAGCGATGAACAACAACTTGATAAACTATACAAACGATACTATGATTGCTTGAGAGTATCGACGTTTGAGTGTGATGATCGACTTTGCCGTAAAGATCAATTTTCATGCGGAAACGGTGAATGTGTTCCTTGGTCAACAGTTTTGGATGGCAAAAAGGCATGTCTAAACGCGCGTCATTTAGCCTATATTTGTGAAGCGTTCAGTCGGAGTGCTAGTGCACATTTAGAACAAACTACCATCTGCAAAGAAACAATGAAACCTGTCTCTTTAACGAATACGTCGGACTGCCTAGAAAGTTTGAGATATCTACTAAGGTCTTATTCAGGTCACCTGTTGAGCGAACTTGCCGTTAAAAATATTGTAACTCGTTGTGAAGATCACATAAACTATTCGAAGCAGAACGCCTTCTTTCCAGGTCTGACGATTGTATACAATCGTTCTCATGTTCAAGAATTTTATAGTATACCAAGCAATGCACAAAAATTGATACCACGGACACCTGATCTGTATTACTTTAGTGGTGATATTATATGCGATGGAGTGCTATTTAAAATAACTGAAAAAATTTGGTTTAGTTTTCAGGACATGCAAAAGCTCATCTCTTACCCATTCTTTCCACTCTTCCATTTGATATGCGAAAGCGTGATGAATGAACTATCTCGTACTAGCCGAGACTATTTATTTACATCATCGTTTTATCGCTGTAAAAATACATCGGACCGGATATCTCTGCGACGAATTAATGACGGATACATTGATTGTCTCTACGGTGATGATGAACGAAATTCTGCGTATTCAGTGACTGAACCCTTTCGTTATCGATGTCAAACCGTAACATTCCCGCCGCAATACGTCAGCTATGCACAATTAGGTAACGGTGTAGATAACTGTGTGGACGGTAGCGATGAAATATCCAAAGAACTGCGTTGGTCATCTTTCCAGTGTGATTTGACTGACAGCTATGCATGTTGGGTCTTTCAAGGTGATCGATTCGGAGAAAACCGGATGAAAGATGCTCGATTTAATTTTCACCGTCATTGTGATACGATTTGGGATGTCATGGACGGCCGAGATGAAATAGACTGTCTATATTGGATATGTGATCCTGGTTTGTACAGATGCAATCGAACGGGACAGTGTATCGAGTCGAAATACTTCTGTGATGGTGAATTTGATTGTAGTGACGGAGAAGATGAGATGAATTGTTCTACACCATCTAAACCATGGAAGTTAGAAATGGAATGCAATAAGAGTGTCGAGTTTTTTTGCATTACTGACAATTATGTTACAAATCAGAGTTTGTATCGTCCTTGTATTCCTTGGAGTTGGGTGGGTAATGGTCGCATTGATTGTATTGGAGCTCGGGATGAGCGTAACCGTTTTTCATGTCCTGACCATCGGATGGTTGGTGATCGGTTTTTATGCGATCATGGAACAAAATGCATTCATTACACAGCCGTATGCAACGGAATTAAAGACTGTGTGGATGGAACAGATGAGTCAATTTGTTACTGGGATATTGGTTGGTGTCACGCCGGGCAATTTTCCTGTGCCGATAGAAGAGGGTGCAAGAATATGAGGTGCAACCTTGAAATGAGATGCAATGATAGATCCCATCTCTTCTGGTGTCCAAATGTAATCGATGAAAACTATATTTATCGCTCAACGAAAGAAAGAGTGATGCTCAGCAATAAACAGAGATGTTACAATCAGCCAAGATCATTACTCACAAAACGTCCAGCTCCAGAATCACCTGTGCTATACTTCTATTGTAATAGGGGTTTTTATTTGCGATTAGTCGATACTGCAGAGCCCCATTGCTTTTGCCCACCTACATTTTACGGCGATCGTTGTCAATTCAACAGTCGAAGAGTAACCGTTCTTCTTCGCTTGGACAGAGCACATCGCTCTGATCTTCCAGTCGTTCTCAATATTCTCGTTATGCTGCTTCTAAATGGAAGTATAATAGGTAATCATCGATTTTTTCTTGACGAACACAAGGACTATCCATCCAAGACTTCTACTTATTTAATTTATCCTCGTCCGAAACCTACAGGTACCTATTCCGTACGAATTGAGGCCTATCATTCGACAGGACTGATCCATTTTTGGGAATACGCCGTCACCCCATTGGACTTCCTGCCTGTACTGCATATTTCTAAAGTACTTCGGTTTCCTGAGCNTATAATAGGTAATCATCGATTTTTTCTTGACGAACACAAGGACTATCCATCCAAGACTTCTACTTATTTAATTTATCCTCGTCCGAAACCTACAGGTACCTATTCCGTACGAATTGAGGCCTATCATTCGACAGGACTGATCCATTTTTGGGAATACGCCGTCACCCCATTGGACTTCCTGCCTGTACTGCATATTTCTAAAGTACTTCGGTTTCCTGAGCGTTCACTTCCATGGCTATGTTCGAACAACCATTGCCTAAACAATGGAACATGCCATCAACAGGAGGATAGTAAATTCGTTTGTATTTGTTCCCGCGACTGGAAAGGCAAACTGTGCGACATTAGAAGTCATCATATCAGCTGTGCATCTCATTCATTGGCGCGTACAGAAAAAATTTGTGTCTGCCCACCCGGGTACCTCGAACCATATTGTTATGTTGAAAATCGTCAGTGTCATCAGACCAGCTGTCAATGGAATGAAACCTGTGCTCCACTTTCAGAACCTCCAATTTATAGACATATTTGCATCTGTAATACATCTGATTGTTATGTTAAACGACCAATAATTAGCGTGACTCGACAAGAACCAAATGAGCTACCAATTCTCTTGCAATTGGTTCAGCTAGCAGGTGATTATCCAACTGTCCGACAGCAGATCCTCATTCGATCACATAGTTCGTTTCCACTGATTCGAACGATAAAAACTCGTGATTATCGCGGCCACATCGGTACACTTCCAGAAGTCGGATTACTCTTTACGTTTCAATCCGATACGCAATCAATAAGTGCTTCAATGCATTTGCTTTTTATCAATTGTTCTAATCAGACACGAAACTTCTCGGTCGATCTTGATCTGCAGCCACAAACATGTTACAGCCTACCGGAAAATCATCAACATTCTGTGAACTCCTTTCTTGATCTTTGTCAGAATTTCACATACGGCAACTGCTTTACATCCGCCGGTTATCTCTGCTACTGCGGGTATTCTAGTGAAAATAAAAGCAACTGTGTGTCCTATCAACGGCGATACACAACGTGTGGGTATTGCCACAACGAGGGCCATTGTATCCAAGGTGACTTGGCCAATAAGAGCGATTTCACTTGTGTATGTCCGAAATGCGTCACAGGGGTTTTGTGTCAATTTTCGCCAAGTCGTTTTTCTATCTCGTTGGAATATTTGATGGAGAAAACAGACTGGAATCGTAAACATTTCATCGGCCCGAGTGTTTTTGTGCTCGCCAGTGTGATCTTAAACGGCCTATCTATAGCAACATTCTTGCAACAAAAACTTCGTCAAACTGGGGTGGTTATTCATCTTCTGTCAGCTTCGATGTGCAGTCTATTAGCGTCGATACTGTTCTTTATACGTGTTATATATCTCTATATGATACGCCGAATTATGATGAACCGTACAGTAAATACGGGTGTCTGCAAGAGTCTACCTTTTATCATGCATACGTTCTACTATGCCAGCTTGTGGTTGATGGCAATCGTATCAATGAAAAGAGCATTAGCTGCAACACAGTATTCTCATTGGTCGTCTTTGGAAAAACCTATGATAACTACATTGTTCATCTCTTTAATATCGCTGCTAGTTATGGGTTCGAACTACATATTTATCGATCAATACCAACTAGTCAATCATCCTGATTATTCATATCCATGGTGTATCCGTGAAATTCCATCAACTCAACAATCCTTAGCACAAGTTCTCTCACTGATTCACCGTATGGTTCCTTTCATGGTCAACATAGTAGCATCGTTGATAATCATCATCGCAATTACTCGATCAAAGGCCCATGCCTACAAGAAAACCACACGTGATACTCTAATCAATCAAACACGAGAAAGAATTGATCTGCTGTTAGGTCCTCTCGCTTGCTTCTTAACGCAATTGCCTGAGATAGTAATTTTATTTTTGAATGCTTGCGACTACGATTCTAGCTATTGGTTTTCTAATGTAGTTCTAGTGACACATTACATATCATTAATGCCACATATGAGCATTTTCTGTCTGTATATTCTACCTTCAAAGCAGTATCGTAACGTCTTTCTAGAGAATACATTCTTTGGTCAATACCTATCAAAGGTGNCTCTCGCTTGCTTCTTAACGCAATTGCCTGAGATAGTAATTTTATTTTTGAATGCTTGCGACTACGATTCTAGCTATTGGTTTTCTAACGTAGTTCTAGTGACACATTACATATCATTAATGCCACATATGAGCATTTTCTGTCTGTATATTCTACCTTCAAAGCAGTATCGTAACGTCTTTCTAGAGAATACATTCTTTGGTCAATACCTATCAAAGGTGTTCTCTGAAAACACATCTCTGACACACCGCACTGACACAATAAAATAAATGGAGACACTTATATCTGATTATTCATGATATCTTTTCGAATATGTTCTTAGAAGGCTAGAAAATTCACGGAAAGGTCTTTGTTCGTTTAACACGTGACATTTTAATCGAAGAAATGAAATGTTATACCGTGCTTTATTTTGATATAAGGGAATTCATTGCGTGAGAGTCACTCAAAAAAACATACAGAAAGCAAATTCAAAAGATAATCACATCCACAATATCAATAAGTTCATTTACCAGTCGACTGGTTAGGAGCATCGATCATCTTGTTCATTCATAAACACCTACAAACACAGCAGTCATACTATCACGTTCATTCTCATCGACATACTCGATTCATGCGCATCGATTTCCATTAAGGTTATTTCGAATAACATTCGCACTGTTTACATAGCACCAGAATATGACTGCAAATGAGATGAGACGATAATTGAAGCGACATAGTTTGATAAACTTGATCGTGCCAAAGAAACAAGAAAATGCGAGCAGATAAGTGAAGACATAATTGGTGTACGCAGCTAGTTGCAAGTTGATATAAACGTAACCATTGGTTTGTTCGAAGAGATGACCGATACGAAGTGATTCGCAATATCTCCACGCATAAATACCGATATTTGTCCATGAACAGACGAGTAGTGTAGAAATGGTTAACTCGATTCGAGTTAACCATTTCTACACTACTCACTTGAACATAACTCATTTGTCGATTGGTCACGTAGATCTTATTGTTTTGATCAATAAAGACTGCATATGGATATGAACCAATCGTACTACTGGTTGCAAAGGTAGTTGCAGTTGCATTTCATGTTGCAGCAGGGCAAAGCTTGGACTGATTAATAGATGTGCCTATTTGGAAAGAATGAATACGTGCAAAAGCTCAACTTTATTCGGAAGTGGCAAGGCAAATATCAATGTTTTTTTTTATAGAAGTCAAAAATTTTCAATTGAACAAAGAATAAGAAAACGAAATTTACACCTATCGTTCGATGTACCGTCTGCAACCACCGCAAACATTGTAGATTGATAGAATCAGTAAATAAAATCAAAGATTCTCTGACGTCAATCATTCACAAAGAAATAAAAACATATCCGAGAAGAGAAAGTCAACTTTTAAAAGTTTTTACGAAAGATGTTTGACGATAGTTCCGATATACATGTTAGCAGATTCATTTTTAATGATGTCTGATTGAAAAACGATCTTGGAAATTCTCGGAGAAAAAAGTAGAACGAAAGATAAACAATTTCAGTTCTAAAACATCGACTTTGCGCAGTTCTTCGATTTATTACAAAATGTCGAATTATATATGCTTTTCACAACCACTAAAAATCCCACTGTTCCCTGTTTCCCTCTAGAAATGATCTCAAGCTGTACTTGTTCAACCTTTTGTTCCGTTCAATGCTGTTTCTGATTTGTTTACGAATGTTATCATTCGTCATAATATTACGAAGATCAAGTCGAATGAGTTTCTATGTAGAGAAAACAGTATGGAAAGCTAGAACATTTTTTGGACAGAGAGAGAATGTAAGTTACCAGATTGTTGCATAGAGCATCGGCTAGCCGGTGTGCTCCGTGGTGACCAAAAGGATTCGACCCGATCAAGAATGTGTTAAGCGTCTAGAAGAGGAAATTGTAGATTAATAAACGAAAGGAGGGATGAAGTACCGTATTCATATGTAATGCATCAGCTAAATGTTGTGCTCCGACGTCTGTGATTCGATTTCCTCCAAGATTTAGCTTTTCAAGTGTCTTTTTTCATAGAAACATCAGACGAGAGGTTGATATAGAGAAAATGTTGTATACCGTGTTCTTTCGAAGTGCTTCAGCAAATTGTTGTGCTCCTTTATCTTGGATTTGACAATTTCTCAGATCTAGAATAGTGAGTGTCTATATGGGCAAATGACATTTAGTACTTCATGAATATGTGCAAGAGAGTAAGTATTACTTTGTTATACAATAGTGCCCGAGCCAGAGATACTGCTCCGTCATCTCCGATGTTTTCGTTGGATAGAGATAGAACAGTGAGCGTCTACATTGGAAGAGTGTGAGAGAAGATAGGTAATGCGAAGATAAACATTACTCTGTTGACATGTAAAGTATTAGCCAAATATTGTGCTCCGAGATCGTCTACGCCATTTTCTTCGAAATGAAGTCGAAGAAGTGTCTACATGTTCAAAAGCAGTTAGTATAGAGAACAGAGCGAATCGATGATGAATCTCACTGTATTTTCGTGTAAAGCATCAGCCAAATATTGAATACCGACAGTTCCAAACTGATTATTTGCAGAATCAAATATCTCAAGTGTCTGTTCAACAAATGTGAATGATAAATGGAAAGACAATAACATTTACTCGATTCTTTCGTAGAGCATTGGCTAGATATTGTATTCCATCAACTCCGATTTCATTGGTTTGCAAATCCAATAAAGTGAGGGTCTATGTGGAAAGAAATTAATAATGGCACAGAATAGACGATGAAAAAAAAACGTCGAGTACTGTGTTACTGAGCAAAACATTGGCCAAATGCTGTGATCCAACATCTTCCACAAAGTTATTCTTCAAGTATAACTTTCTGAGCTTCTATACAAAGTCACGCAGTAGTAAATGTACAATGTATGAAAAATGGAGAAGAATTACCGTGCTATCACTTATCAATAGATCAGCGAGGTATTGTGCTCCCTTAACTCGAATATAAGCGTTTGCCAGATCTAGCACTATCAATGTCTGCGTGGATAAGATCGAGGTAATAGTATGAAATGAAATGGAAGAAGAAGCGATAAGAATGACTGACTGTGTTATTTTGTAGGGCTTCAGTCAAATGTTTGACTCCATCATCGGCGACTAGATTAAAGCCGAGATAAAGTTCAGCAAGAACCTATTGGAAGAGAATATCATTTAGGATACAAAAGATAATATGAGAATTACTGTATTGTTTTGTAATGCGTCAGCTATGTACCGTATTCCGTCAGTTTCAATACTGTTCTTCCTAAGGTTTAATAAAGTGAGGCTCTATCGAGAAAATGATCAACAAAAGAAAATAATGGATTTCAAGAAGTAGTACTGTGCTATCGTTTAATACATTCGCCAGATATTGTGCTCCCGTACATGTGATATTATTACTTTCCAGATATAGTGCAGTGATGGTCTACGTAAGAGAAGAGTACAGATAATCACAATGCCATAAATTAAAAAGATAAAAGGAAATACTTTATTTTTGTGTAATGCTTCGGCTAGATCCTGAACTCCGACATCCGTGATTACGTTTTCAGTGAGATCCAATGTAGTGAGTGTCTATTCAAAGAATGAGTACTGCGATATGAGATACCTGTCATTATGTACTGTGTTATTTTCTAACGCATTAGCAAGATATTTTGCTCCCGTATCTCCAATTCGATTATCTTGCAGTTTGAGGATCGTAAGCACCTGTAAGTAAACTTATTAACATACTTCGACTCAGAATGAACATTACTTTGTTCTGGCGCAAGGCATTACTTAGATGCTGTGCATCAACATCTTCAAGACTATTACTTGCGAGTCGTAGAAAAGTCAGCGTCTACATTAAAATATATGGATTATGGTATCAAACAGATAGAGAAGTAATGTGAAGTACCTTGTTATCATGTAATGCAGTAGCCAGATGATTGAGTCCAGCTGTTGTGAAGTCATTACTATCGAGACATAGTGTGGTGATAACGGTCTATATAAAATAGTACGCTTCATTTGTCAAATTACGTGTGAAGAAAATGAAAGTTACCTGGTTGCTATTCAAGACACCAGCCAACTTTTCAATTCCTGTGTTTCTTATATTATTATATGCGAGATCTAATAGAGTAATACTCTAGGAAGAAAATGCTGATGATCACGCGAAGCAAATAGTGGAAAATACGTTTACTGTATTGTGTCTCAATGCAACAGCTAAGCGTTGTGCTTGAATATCGTCGAGGTTACTACCGAAAAAATCTAGTGTGATGACAGGCTAAACGAGAAAATGGTAACTAAGTGCATTTTACGTTCTTTTCTAAACATGGCAAGTCGAAGAGAATAAAAACGACGACGACAAAAAGCACATGTTTTCAAACGTACATATTTCGATGTTAGATATGACTTCAAAATCCAGTAAGAGATATTTCAAAGAACTTTACCTGGTATTGATAGTAGCCATTGACGATGATGTCCAGACGTTGACAAACATTTCTCATTGAACATAGAATAGTGTATTCGTTTTGATGATCAAGAATTCTGTAGACGAACTCGACTGGCAGTGTAAGAAGAGAAACGCCAATCCGATTCGACATTGCGAACAAAACTGTTAGAGTGTGTGATAATTCTGTTCTTTTTAAATGCATGTGAGGCGACATGACTTATTATGTAAATACGAATCAGTTCTTTCGGAGAAAAGAAATTCAACTGAATGATGATGTCAATATTTTCTATATATATAATAATAATCGTAATGACACACATCGAAGCAGGCTAAATAATCTTTCGATAGTTATAATTTTCGATTTTGTTTACCAATATGACGAAACAATCGTCTTTGCGTAGATGATTTCTACTGCGTATTTCTTGGTTTTGTTATAATGAGACATCTGCAGTTTTTCAATTGTACATAACAGTCTAGCCATGAACAAGGTTAAAATTCAATCGATCTTTAACATCGAGCATGGTATTATCATCGTTTTTTATTAATAAGAAATGCTTCCGAAGATCATGCATAGACATACCGAATATTTATTCGGGAAAAAAGTGAAAGTGCGCAAATGAAATAACACCATTACAAAGATTAAGCTTACAAAAAACAAAAGAAGACGAAAAAGGTTTTATTCACAAAAAACTACATAAGTTGTTTTCTTGTTAATTCTATACTCAAATTGAAACAATATTGTTATATGATGATTAACAGAGAACTGTTTCGTTAAATTCAGAATAAAGTTATTAGGTTCAAACGCGCAGAAAAACACTGATAAGAGTAAAAGCAGAAAAATACGTCTAACTAAATAAAGAGATAAAACGAATCACATGTAAACACGATTAAGTCTACATATACTCAAAGCTATGGACTTGAGGTACATGCTTAAAGGCCATTGCATTCTTTCTAAACTTCCAGATACGATCAACTCCCACGCATTAATATCTTCAAATAAGTATTACAAAACTTCATATAAATTCCTTTCTTCAATTCATTTCGAAGCTACAGCCAGTTTCGCATATACATGATCAACTTCTTCGGAAAATAATTGGCGGAGTTCAACGGCCAAATGCATCTTACATTTCGGAATCATTACGCGTGTAACTCGTCCTCTCTCATGAATCCACAACGAATTTTCAACGACCGAGACTGCAGCTCCACCAATGATACACCCATGAACAGCAGNTCTAGTACCGTCAATGTCTACATGAATAAAATCGAGATAATAGTATGGAACGGAATGACTGACTGTGTTATTTTGTAGGGCTTCAGTCAAATATTTGACTCCATCATCTGCGACTAGATTAAAGCCGAGGTATAGTTCAGCAAGAACCTATTTGGAAGAGAATATCATTTAGGATACAAAAGATAATATGAGAGTTACTGTATTGTTTTGTAATGCGTCAGTTATGTACCGTATTCCGTCAGTTTCAATACTGTTCTTCCTAAGGTTTAATGAAGTGAGGTTCTATCGAGAAAATGATCAACAAAAGAAAATAATGGGTTTTAAGAATTAGTACTGCGCTATCGTTTAATACATTCGCCAGATATTGTGCTCCCGTACATGTGATATTATTACTTTCCAGATATAGTGCAGTGATGGTCTACGCAAGAGAAGAGTACAGATAATTACAATGCCATAGATTAAAAAGATAAAAGGAAATACTTTATTTTTGTGTATTGCTTCGGCCAGATCCTGAACTCCGACATCCGTGATTACGTTTTCAGTGAGATCCAACGTAGTGAGTGTCTATTCAAACAATGAGTACTGCGATACGAGATAACTGTCATTATGTACTGTGTTATTTTCTAACGCATTAGCAACATATTTTGCTCCCGTATCTTCAATTCGATTATCTTGCAGCTTGAGGATCGTAAGCACCTGTAAGTAAAGTTATCAACATACCTTGACTCAGAATGAGCATTACTTTGTTCTGGCGCAAGGCATTATTTAGATGCTGTGCAGCTACATCTTCAAGGCTGTTACTTGCGAGTCGTAGAAAAGTCAGCGTCTACATTAAAATATATGGATTATGGTATCAAATGGATGGAGAGGTAATATGAAGTACCTTGTTATTATGTAATGCAGTAGCCAGATGATCGAGTACAGCTGTTGTGAAGTCATTACTTTAGTGCACTTCATTTGTCAAATTACGTGTAGAGAAAATAAAATTTACCTGGTTGCTATTGAAGATACCAGCCAACTTTTCAATTCCTGTGTTTCTTATATTATTATATGCAAGATCTAATAGAGTAATACTCTATGAAGAAAATGCTGATGATCACGCGAAGCAAATAATGAAAAATACGTTTACTGTATTGTGTCTCAATGCAACAGCTAAGCGTTGTGCTTGAATATTGTCGAGGTTACTACCGAAAAAATCTAGTGTGATGATAGGCTAAACGAGAAAATGGCAACTAAGTGCATTTTACGATCTTTTCTAAACATGGCAAGTCGAAGAGAATAAAAACGACAACGACAAAAAGCATATGTTTTCAAACGTACGTACATATTTCGATGTTAGATATGACTTCAAAATCCAGTAAGAGATATTTCAAAGAACTTTACCTGGTATTGATAGTAGCCATTGACGATGATGTCCAGACGTTGACAAACATTTCTAATTGAGCATAGAATAGTGTATTCGTTTTGATGATCAAGAATTCTGTAGACGAGCTCGACTGGCAGTGTAAGAAGAGAAACGCCAATTCGATTCGACATTGCGAAGAAAACTGTTAAAGTGTGTGGTATTTCTGTTCCTTTTAAATGCATGTGAGGCGACATGACTTATTATGTAAATACGAATCAGTTCTTTCGGAGAAAAGGAATTCAACTGAATGCTGGCGTTGGTATTTTCTATATATACTAATAATCGTAATGACAGGCATCCAAGCAGGCTAAATAATCTTTCGATAGTTATAATTTTCGATTTTCTTTACCAATATGACGAGAATAATCGTCTTTGCGTACATGATTTCTACTGCGTATTTCTTGGCTTTGTTATAATGAGACATCTGCAGTTTTTTAATTGTACATAACAGTCTAGTCATGAACACGGCTAAAATTCAATCGATTTTTAGCATCGAGCATGATATTATCATCGTTTTTTAATAATAATAAGTGTTTGGGAAGATTGTGCATAGACATACTGAATATTTATTCGGGAAAAAGTGAAAGTGCGCAGATGAAATAGCAACATTACAAAGATTAAGCTTACAAAAAATAAAAGAAGACGAAAAAGGTTTTAGTCACAAAAAACTACATAAGTTGTTTTCTTATTAGTTCTATACTTAAATTGAAACAATATTGTTATACGATGATTAACAGAGAACTGTTTCGTTAAATTCAGAATAAAGTTATTAGGTTCAAACGCGCAGAAAAACACTGATAAGAGTAAAAGCAGAAAAATACGTTTAACTAATTACGTAGATAAAACGAATCCCATGTAAACACGATTAAGTCTACATATACTCAAAGCTATGGACTTGAGGTACATACTTAGGGGCTCGTGCATACTCTCTAAACTTCCAGATACTATCAACTCCTACCCCTTAATATCTTCAAATAAGTATTACAAAACTTCACATAAATTTCTTTCTTCAATTCATTTCGAAGCTACAGCCAGTTTCGCATATACATGATCAACTTCTTCGGAAAATAACTGGCGGAGTTCAACAGCCAAATGCATCTTACATTTCGGAATCATTACGCGTGTAACTCGTCCTCTCTCATGAATCCACAACGAATTTTCAACGACCGAGACTGCAGCTCCACCAATGATACACCCATGAACAGCAGGTCCGAGAAATACACGATCTCCTGTCTGTATTAGAATCTTTATGAGCTTGCCAGGTAATATTAGTTCCGAGTCTATACAACTTTTACTAACAATCCGCTCCTCAGTGGTTCCGATATCATTATCGCCGAACACGTCCAACGCACAAATCGCGCAGAGCCACCTTCTCATCTCATATTTGTAGAGGTTCTTCCTCTCGTTCCAAGCCCGTGCAAAGCCAGCAGCCACACCCATAATTTCCGTCGTGGTCACTTTTTCAACTACACGATTCAGTGCCATACATGCACTACTACTTACTAGATGGTCGCTATCTGAAAGTGCCCTGACAAGTGCATTGATCAGTTCCTTCCTCGCTGCTTTTTCACCCATTCGACCGATTGCGTAGCATGCACTTCTTCTTACCCGATGGCCGCTGTGCGAGAGTGCCTTGAGAAGTGCGCCGATCACTTCCTTCGTCGCTGCTTTTTCACCTATTCGACCGATTGCGTAGCATGCACGCCATCTTATCTCAGAAGCGCCGTCCGATAGTGCCTTGACAAGCGCGTCGATCACTTCTTTCGTCGCTGCTTTTTTACTCATTCGACCAATTCCCTCGCATGCACACCTTCTTATGTTAAAATCGTGGTCCGAAAGTGCCTTCAGAAGTGCATCGATCATTTCCTTTGTGGCTGCTCTTTCATTTATTCGACCTATTGTGTAGCATGCACCTCCTCTTACTCGAAGATCGCTATCTGAAAGTGCTCTGAGAAGTGCGCCGATCACTTCTTTCGTCGCTGCTTTTTCACTCATTCGACCGATTGTGTAGCATGCACTTCTTCTTATCCGATGGTCGCTGTGGAAGAGTGCCTTGAGAAGGGCATCCATCACTTCTTTCGTCGCTGCGTTTTCGCCTATTCGACCGAATGCCTCGCATGCACCTCCTCTTACTCGAAGATCACTATCTGAAAGCGCCCTGAGAAGTGCATTGATCGCTTCTTTCGTCGCTGCTTTTTCACCTATTCGACCGATTGCGTAGCATGCACTCCATCTTATGGCAGAATCGTCGTCCGAAAGTGCCTTGACAAGCGCGTCGATCACTTCCTTCGTCGCTGCGTTTTTAGCCATTCGATCGAATGCCTCGCCTGCACACTTTCTAGTGTTAAAATCGTGGTCCCAAAGTGTCTTGAGAAGTGCGCCGATCACTTCCTTCGTCGCTGCTTTTTCACCTATTCGACCGATTGCGTAGCATGCACGCCATCTTATGTCAGAAGCGCCGTCCGATAGTGCCTTGACAAGCGCGTCGATCACTTCTTTCGTCGCTGCTTTTTTACTCATTCGACCAATTCCCTCGCATGCATACCTTCTTATGTTAAATTCGTGGTCCGAAAGTGCATTGAGAAGTGCGTCGATCACTTCCTTCGTCGCTGCTTTTTCTCCTATTCGACCGATTGCCTCGCATGCACGCCATTTTGTGTCAGAATCGTCGTGCAAAAGTACCTTAACAAGTGCATTGATCAGTTCTTTCTCCGCTGCTTTTTCACCCATTCGACCGATTGCGTAGCATGCACTTCGTCTTACCCGATGGTCGATGTGCGAGAGTGCCTTGAGAAGTGCGCCGATCGCTTCTTTCGTTGCTGCTTTTTCACCTATTCGACCGATTGCGTAGCATGCACGCCATGTTATGTCAGAATCGTCGTCGGAAAGTGCCTTGACAAGCGCGTCGATCACTTCCTTCGTCGCTGCTTTTTGACCCAATCGACCAATTGCCTGGGATGCACTCCGTCTTACCCGAAGATCGCTGTCCGAAAGTGCCTTGAGAAGCGCATCGATCACTTCCTTCGTCGCTGCGTTTTTAGCCATTCGATCGAATGCCTCGCCTGCATAGTTTCTTATGTGAGAATCGTCGTCCCAAAGTGTCTTGAGAAGTGCGTCGATCACTTCTTTCGTCGCTGCTTTTTCACCTATTCGACCGATTGCGTAGCATGCATTCCATCTTATGTGAGAATCGTCGTCCGAAAGTGCCTTGACAAGTGCATTGATCACTTCTTTCGTCGCTGCTTGTGGAGCCATTCGATTGAATGCGCTGTATGTAGGCCATATTATGGCAGAATAGTCGTGCAAAAGTGCGTTGTGAAGTGCGTCGATCACTTCTTTCGTCACTGCTTTTTCACCTATTCGACCGATTGCGTAGCATGCATTCCATCGTATGTCAGGATCGTCGTCCGAAAGTGCCTTGAGAAGTAAATCGATCATTTCAGGCGTCGCTGCTTGTACATTTATTCGACGGAATGCCTCGCTTGCACTTCGTCTTACTAGATGATCGGTGTCCGAAAGTGCCTTGAGAAGTGCCTCGATCAGTTCCTTCGTCGCTGCGTTTTGATACATAGAGGTAAGTGCTTCGAATGCTTCTTGTTTTACATCGGAATCTTTATGCTGTATTTTCTGTAGCACTGTGCGCTTTAGCGAATTGGTAGGATTGTTTAGTGGAATTGATGATATAAATGCCAGTGTTCTACAAACGATAGTGGTCTGGTTATGGTGAAGTAATCGTACCAGTGCCTGTTGAATATGTGTTGCATTGCAGATTGTGTTACATGCTCTTAGAATGTTCGTCACAAACGGATGTAAATACCGGGATTTATGTGTTATAGCGGTTTCTACCCATCGCGCTGTTAGTTGGAATAATTGTTGGGCTTCAATAAATGTTTGGTTGCTGTTAATCTCATCGACACAGCGAATAACAAGAGCCATGTGTTGCATACGGGTGATATCTAATGGTTCGTTAAATATTGTGTTCCAAAATTTAATGTTAAGTCGCGAGTCACATGTTTCGCTTAGTAACCCGGCTAGAAATGCAAAGAGTAACTGATATCTTTGATTGTATTTGTGCTGCTGAATAAATTCAATTGCTTTATTGCGTGCAGTACCGGACAGAGCTTTTGCTAAGTAGCGAGCTGCAAAGTATTCTTGAAAGCTGAGATGGACAAAGTAGTAATCTTTTTCGACTTCATTGTGTGTCCTAATACGACCAATATTTGAGTCGTATGATTTTAGTATTCCAAAATTGAATAAGTTTTTACGATCAGATGGCTCCGTGATTATATTTTTTTCCGCATTCCTGACTAATGTTGGGCTTAACAGAATAAGATTGTTTTCCATTCCAAGGAAGGCGAGCCTTTCTAGGAACGCCAGTTCCATTTTACATTTTTCATAGACGTCCTTTTTGACCATGAATATAAGATCGGTGGATAGGATATTTTTTTGCTTCGCTAGATATCGACGGCAGATCGACTCAGTTAATCCATTATACAATCCTNGAACACGTCCAACGCACAAATCGCGCAGAGCCACCTTCTCATCTCATATTTGTAGAGGTTCTTCCTCTCGTTCCAAGCCCGTGCAAAGCCAGCAGCCACACCCATAATTTCCGTCGTGGTCACTTTTTCAACTACACGATTCAGTGCCATACATGCACTACTACTTACTAGATGATCGCTGCCCGAAAGTGCCTTGAGAAGTGCATCGATCACTTCCTTCGTCGCTGCTCTTTCACCTATTCGACCCAATGCCTCGCATGCACCTCCTCTTACCCGGAGATCGCTGTCCGAAAGTGCCTTGAGAAGTGCGTCGATCACTTCTTTCGTCGCTGCTTTTTCACCTATTCGACCGATTGCCTCGCATGCACGCCATCTTATGTCAGAATCGTCGTCCGAAAGTGCCTGGAGAAGTCCGTCGCTCACTTTCTTCGTCGCTGCGTTTTTAGCCATTCGATCGAATGCCTCACCTGCACCTCCCCTTACCCGAAAATCGCTATCTGAAAGTGCCCTAACAAGTGCATTGATCACTTCTTTGGTCGCTGCTTTTTCACCCATTCGACCGATTGCGTAGCATGCACTTCGTCTTATATCAGAATCGCCGTCCGAAAGTGCCTTGACAAGCGCGTCGATCACTTCTTTCGTCGCTGCTTTTTCATTAATTCGACCGATTGCCTCGCATGCACACCTTCTTATGTTAAAATCGTGGTCCGAAAGTGCCTTCACAAGTGCATCGATCATTTCCTTTGTGGCTGCTCTTTCATTCATTCGACCTATTGTGTAGCATGCACCTCCTCTTACTCGAAGATCGCTATCTGAAAGCGCCCTGAGAAGTGCATTGATCACTTCTTTCGTCGCTGCTTTTTCACTCATTCGACCGATTGCGTAGCATGCACACCTTCTTATGTTAAAATCGTGGTCCGAAAGTGCCTTCACAAGTGCATCGATCACTTCTTTCGTCGCTGCGTTTTCGCCTATTCGACCGAATGCCTCGCATGCACCTCCTCTTACTCGAAGATCGCTATCTGAAAGCGCCCTGAGAAGTGCATTGATCACTTCTTTCGTCGCTGCGTTTTCACCTATTCGACCGATTGCGTAGCATGCACGCCATCTTATGTCAGAATCGTCGTCCGAAAGTGCCTTCACAAGCGCGTCGATCACTTCCTTCGTCGCTGCGTTTTTAGCCATTCGATCGAATGCCTCGCCTGCACACTTTCTTGTGTTAAAATCGTGGTCCGAAAGTGCCTTGAGAAGTGCGCCGATCACTTCTTTCGTCGCTGCTTTTTCACCTATTCGATCGATTACGTAGCATGCACGCCCTCTTATGTCAGAATCGTCGTCCGAAAGTGCCTTGACAAGTGCATTGATCACTTGTGTCGTCGCTGCTTTTGCACTCATTCGACCGATTGCCTCGCATGCACTTCGTCTTACCTTAAGATCGCTATCCGAAAGTGCCTTGACAAGCGCGTCGATCACTTCTTTGGTCGCTGCTTTTTCACCTATTCGACCGATTACATAGCATGCACTTTGTCTTACGTGAAGATCGCTATCGGAAAGTGCCTTGAGTAGTGCGCCGATCACTTCTTTCGTCGCTGCTTGTGCACCTATTCGATCGATTACGTAGCATGCACTTAGTCTTACCGAAAGATCGCTATCGGAAAGTGCCTTGAGTAGTGCGCCGATCACTTCTTTCGTCGCTGCTTGTGTACCCATTCGACTGAATGCGCTGTATGCAGGCCATATTATGGCAGAATTGTCGTGCGAAAGTGCCTTGACAAGTGCATTGATCACTTCTTTCGTCGCTGTTTTTGCACCCAATTGACCGATTGTCTGGCATGCATGGCGTCTTATGTTAGAGTCGTCGTCCGAAAGTGCCTTGAGAAGTATATCGATCATTTCAGGCGTCGCTGCTTGTACATTTATTCGACTGAATGCCTCGCTTGCACTTCGTCTTACTAGATGATCGCTGTCCGAAAGTGCTTTGAGAAGTGCCTCGATCAGTTCCTTCGTCGCTGCTTTTTGATACATAGAGGTAAGTGCTTCGAATGCTTCTTGTTTTACATCGGAATCTTGATGCTGTATTTTCTGTAGCACTGTGCGCTTTAGCGAATTGGTAGGATTGTTTAGTGGAATTGATGATATAAATTCCAGTGTTCTACAAACGATAGTGGTTTGGTTATCGTGTAGTAATCGTACCAGTGCCTGTTGAATATGTGTTGCATTGCAGATTGTGTTACATGCTCTTAGAATGTTCGTCAGAAACGGAAGTAAATACCGGGATTTATGTGTTATAGCGGTTTCCATCCATCGCGCTGTCAGTTGAAATAATCGTGGGGCTTCAATGAATGTGGTGTTGCTGTTAATCTCATCGGCACAGCGAATAACAAGAGCCATGTGTTGCATATGGGTGATATCTAATGGCTCGTTAAATATTGTGTTCCAAAACTTGATGTTAAGTCGCGAGTCACATGTTTCGCTTAGTAACCCGGCTAGAAATGCAAAGAGTAGCTGATATCTTTGATTGTATTTGTGCTGCTGAATAAATTCAATTGCTTTATTACATGCAGTACCGGACAGAGCTTTTGCTAAGTAGCGAGCTGCAAAGTATTCTTGAAAGCTGAGATGGACAAAGTAGTAGTCTTTTTCGACTTCATTGTGTGTCCTAATACGACCAATATTTGAGTCGTATGATTTTAGTATTCCAAAATTGAATAAATTTTTACGATCAGATGGTTCCGTGATTATCTTTTTTTCCGCATTCCTGACTAATGTTGGGCTTAACAGAATAAGGTTGTTTTCCATTCCAAGGAAGGCGAGCCTTTCTAGGAACGCCAGTTCCATTTTACATTTTTCATAGACGTCCTTTTTGACCATGAATATAAGATCGGTGGATAGGATATTTTTTTGCTTCGCTAGATATCGACGGCAAATCGACTCAGTTAATCCATTATACAATCCTGTCATCGTCGCNTTTTCCGCATTCCTGACTAATGTTGGGCTTAACAGAATAAGATTGTTTTCCATTCCAAGGAAGGCGAGCCTTTCTAGGAACGCCAGTTCCATTTTACATTTTTCATAGACGTCCTTTTTGACCATGAATATAAGATCGGTGGATAGGATATTTTTTTGCTTCGCTAGATATCGACGGCAGATCGACTCAGTTAATCCATTATACAATCCTGTCATCGTCGCTACTTTTGTTTTGGCCCAATCGGATTTGATCCAAACACTGCAAATCAGTTCCAGATTAATGGGAATATGTGCAATACCCCAAATCTTAGGATTCGACTGGAGAAAATTGAGTAAGTTCTCATCCTCACGCGAGGGGTTTCCTAACTGATTGAAGAACAGCTTGATATAGTTGGGAATGTTTTCATCCGTGAAACCCGTAATTTCCATCTTCACCGAATACGGCAATGTATTCATGTATGGACGAGAGGTGATGATGTGATGCGGAGTTTTGAGCAGCTGTTCAAGTAAGATTTGGAGATGTCGAGGTTGGTCTTGTGCTATTTCATCATAACCATCCAATAGCCATAGAATTTTACTTCTACGAATCTGTTCTGCAAGCTTATTCTTTTGTTCATCTGACCAGAATGGATGAGAGAAATAGTGATTTATCAAAATGTCGATGAGAGAATAATCTTTGCCTTTTGGATATTTTGGTCCTGTTAGAGATCGTAAAGGAACGAGCACAACTAATTCATATTCTGGCCATATTGCACCAGTTGCCCATTGATAAGCAGCATATCGGCAAAACGTTGATTTTCCAATACCAGCTCGACCAAAAACTAAAATATTTCTGTTTTGATCTTTGCATTTCGTGAAAATATCTTTGACATCAATTGGAGATTTACTTCCATAAATTTTCTCGAATACACCCATAACTGCATCAATGCTCTGAGTATTATCGAGCTTCTTTTCTTTTTCTTGAGTTTCTTTCGTTTCTACTATAGCCAAATTGATATAACTCTGCTCGATTGGAAACGTTTTCGACGGATCCATGAAGCGTTCTATTTTGTTGTCACATAGATATTTGTATTTAATTAATTCGAAAAGATAATTTGGTGGACCAAGTGATTCTGTTAAGACGTGCTTCGATGAAGAATGTCTTTTGTACAAACTATTGATCAACTCTTGTAAATGCATTTTGTCCTTATTCTGAATTTCCTTGATATTATAACAGTGAAGAGATCCAACTACTGTCGTTAACCAAGAAGAATCGTTCCAGAATTTCTTGTCGTCGAACAAACACGGTATAATTAGTTTGCTCCGTTTATGTGCATATTGTAGTTCAAGTTTACAAACTGGTGACCTTTCATAATCTGGCGTTAAAAAACAAAAAACTGCTGCAGCGTTCTCTACTCCATTAGCCAAACTAAAAGAATAATGCAGTTAAAAGAAAGAATGTAGAGAGACAGAATATATTATTTAAAACACATACCTATCGTGTAGGCTATCTGCGGTGACATTTTCTGATCGGTTGATCCAAACTGGCATCTCTTGATTTCGTAAAAACTCGTAAATTTGAAATACGATTTCTTTATCATTGATATTGTAAGATAACATGATGTGTTGTCCAGTAGGAATCACAGTACTAAAAG